TTTTCAGCATACAAATCCTGTACATGTTTTGATAGATTTATACCTGCTCTTTTCTTAAAAAAAAAAAAAAAAAAAGGCAATTGTAAATGGTATTGTATTTTTAATTTTGGTGTCCATGTATTCATTACTTGAATATAGAATTAAAATTCACTTTTGTATGTTTATCTTATATCCTGCAACCTTACTGAACTCACTTATTAGTTCTATGAGGTTTTGTTGTAGAATCTTTGAGAATCTCTACATAAACAATCATATCATCTGCAAACAGGGAGCGTTTTCTTTCTTTTTAAACTGTATGCCTTTCATTTCCCTTCCTTGACTTATCGCACTGGCTAGAGCTCCCAGCAATATACTGAATAAGAGCGATGAGAGTAGAAATTCTTAAGGGGTAAGCATTCAGTCTTTCACCAGTAAGAATAATATCAGTTGTATATTTTTACAGATGATCTTTGTCAGGTTGAAGAAGTTCCCCTCAATTTCTATTTTTCGGAGCTTTTGTCATGAATGAGTGTTGAATTTTGTCAAATGTTGTTTTGCACTGTGACTTTGCTTATTCAGCCTATGAATGTGGTGGATTACATTTTCAAATACTGAACCAACCCTGCAGCCCTGGAATAAAGTCCACTTGGTCATAGTGTATAATTCTTGTAATAAATTGCTGAATTTTATTTGCTAATATTTTATTAAGGATTTTTGTGCCTATATTCATAAGGGATATTTGCCTGTTTTTTTTTTTTTTTTTGTTTATTTGTTTTGTTTTGTTTTGTTTTTGGGTACCATCTTGGGCTGGTTTTATTATCAGGATAATACTGACCTCATAAAATGAGTTGGAAAGTACTTCCTCCTTTCTTTTTTCTGGAAGAGACTGTGTTGAATTGGTGTTAACTCTTTAAACGTCTGGCAAAATCCTCCAGTGACATCATCTGGGCTTGGAGATTTCTTTTTGGGAGTTTTAAAATTACATACTGAATTTCCTTAATAATTAGTTATCGGGCTATTCAGATGATCTATTCATACTGGTGAGTTGTGGTAGTTTTCCGTTTTTCAAGGAATCGGTCCATTTCACCTAAGTTGTCAAATGCATGTTTAAGAGTTACTTGTAGTATTCCTTTATTATTCTTGATGTCTACAGGGTCTTTCAACAATTAAAAACAATGTTATGCTACTTGCTTCTAGCCTCCATGGTTTCTGTTAAGAAATCTGTTGTCATTCCAACTGCTTTTCCCCTATAGGCAAGATGTCATTTCTCTTGCTGCTTTCAAGATTTTTTCTGTCTTTGCATTTCAGAAGTTTTACTATGATGGGTCTCGGTGTGAATTTCTTTAGGTTCACCCTGTTTGGGGTTTGCTCAGCTTCTTAAATCTGTTTGTCTTTTGGCAGATTAGCAAAGTCTGGGCCATTATTTTTTCTAATACTTTTCCAGCCCCATCCTCTTTCTCCTCTCCCTCTGGACTTGAATCAGATAACGTTAGATTTTTTGCTCTAATCCCACAGGAGGATGGGATTAGCGAACTACCTTGTTATGACCAGGTTGAGGAAGAAAGTGAAATTCCCCATTTGGCCTCTGATGACACCCAAGTGGGGGCCTCCTCTTTACTTCTAGGTGTGATAGTAGTTCTGGCTTCCCACCACGCTTCCACTGATACCTCCTCGGCTAAGAGGGGCAGAAATGCCGTAATGCCTTTCTATGGCCTATACAGACACCACAGGGAATGGAGAGCCTGGGCAGTGGGGAAAGTCCTACCCAGAACCTTCTGACATTACTCCACTAGGGAGGGGAAAGGGTGCCTCATTACTGCTGTATGAAGGCAGAAGTCCAGGGGGATGAAACAACCTGGCAGGGATGAAACTCCTGCTCCTACTTTGCTCTCTAGACCTTCACCTATTCTTGTTATTTCATATAAGTGAGATATATAATATCTGTCCCTTTTGATTGACTTATTTCACTCAGCATAACGTTCTTAAGGTTCATCCATATTGTAACATGTATCAGGACTTCATTTCTCTTTCTGGCTGAGCAGTATTCCATTGTGTGTGCATGCACATATATATATATATATATGTATGTATATATGTAAATGTATGCATACACATTTTGTTTATCTCATTCATCCTTTAGTGGATATTTAGGTTGCTTCCACCTTTTGGCTATTGTGAATAGTGCTGGAATGAACACTGGTATACAAGTGTCTGTTTGCATCATTATTTTCAATTCTCTTGAAAAGAGGAGTGGAACTGCTGGGTCATATGGTAGTTCTATGTTTAGTTTTTTGAGGAACCGCCAAGCTGCTTTTCACAGTGGCTGTACTATTTTGCATTTCCAGCAGCAATTTCTCCACATCCTCATCAACACTTGTTATTTTCTGTTTTTCGATCTTAGCCATACTAGTAGGAGTGAGGTGGTATCTCACTGTGGTTTTTCTTTTTGGTTTTAAAGCATATCCATACTTTTTTAAAAATACTTTATTTTTGTTGTTGTTGTTGAAAATATACACAGCAAAACATACACCAGTTCAACAGTTTCTAAATGTACAATTCAGTGACAGTAATTATATTCTTCCAGTTGTACAGTCATTCTCACCCTCCTTTTTTGAGTTTTTCCTCCCTCATTAACATAAACTCACTGCCCCCTAAGGTTCCTATTTAATCTTTTGAGTTGCTGTTGTCAATTGATCCCATAAAATGGAGCATAATGCTCAAGGCAGGCATTTTTTACTAGTTAAGCTAAACTATTGTCTGGTTTTAAGAAGATTTCAGGGGATGTTTTTAATTTAAGAGTTAAAGATTATCTCAGAGTAATAGTTTCAGGGGTTCATCTACCCTCCATGGCTCCAGAAATTCTGGATTCCATGAGAATTTGAAATTCTGCTCTACATTTCCCCTCCTTTGGTCAGGATTCTTCTAAAGAATCTTTGATCAAAATGTTCAGTAATGATAGCCAGGCACTATCCAATTCTTCTGGTCTCATGGCAAAGGAGGCAGTTGTTCATGGAGCCGATTAACCACACATTCTATATCTTCCTCCTATTCCTGACTCTCCTTCTTCCTCTGTTGCTCCAGGTGAAAAAAGACCAATTGTTGTGCCTTCAATATATTTTTCTACCCAAGCATATAAAATATATTTCCCTCTTCCACAGCCTACTTGGATTGGTTGCTTTTTAGACCTATTCCTCTCAGATTCTTGACCTGGAACTTCACTTTTCTGTCCTCTTGAGAATTATCTTTGCCTCTTTTCTGTGTTAGATCCCCTAGGTTCTGAATTCCATGTCTTCCTCCTTCTTGGTTAACTCTTGTGTTTTCATGAAGCACAGCCTTCAGTAACTTCCTCAGAATGGGTTCATGCACATGCAATGAGACTTCTTTCTATTCGTTATATGGAGATCCTTTCAGTCTGGAGAGTCGTGTCCTTTAATTAATTCTAGGAACGTTCTTGTATTACTGTCTTAGTTGATTTCCTCCTCACTCTTTTCTCTAGTCTTTCTTCAAATGAGTCAGATGTTGAACCTTCTGGACTGATCCACTAATTTTCCTTCTTTTTTTTTCCTTCTCTAATCTTCTGTTTACTAATTTTGTATCTTTGTCTTTTGGTTATCCTTTCTGGGAGATTTTCTTGACTTCATCTTTCAATCCCTTAATTGAATTTTTTAATATATTCTAATTCCAAAAGCTCTTCCCAGCCTTTTCTTTATTTAAAAGTAGAATCTTGTTATTTCATAGCTACATTTTCTCTTATCTTTCTGAGTATATTATGTATTTTTCAGTTTTTTTTCCCCCCTATTTTCTGCATTGTCTTTGATTCATTTGTGTTTACTTATTGTGTTTGTCTTGAGCCCTTTTAGGTTAAAAGTTCTCCTCAAATGTGTACTCATCCTTGGCTGCCTAAGGAGCTCTGTTATGCATGGATGGGAGTTTTCAAGTGTTGGGCTTCATTTAGGCAGATTAGGAGGTAATCTCCCAAGTGTCAGTATCTAGGCAGCACTTCTATGGGACTGTTTGGATTCCCCATGTAAGCATCCTTGTAGGGATCCTCTTGGGTAAAGACTTGGCTGCAGGCCTCCTGCAAGCCTGACAGAGAAATGAGATCAGGTATTCTCGCTATTCTGTATACAGGCTTTGACTTAACTCCCTTGTTTTAAATCTAGGTCTTCACCCCACTCTCCTCTGTGCCTGGTGTCCCCACTTTCAGGTCTTTCGAGTTCAATTTCTCTACAGTGGAAATCTCCTATCTCTCAATGGAAAGGGGAAAGGCAAATCATCTGATTGTGCCAGGTGAGAGTGGGAATATCCTACACAAATATTCATGCAGTCCCATGCCTCTCCCCTGAGCCCCATGGCTGACTCAGTGTCCTCTGAAGAGACTCAGGTCAGCTCTTTCAGCTCTGCTAATTCAGCTATCTCACCTTCATTGGTTGCCTTCTTCCAAGTTTATGGACATCACTCATCCACTGTCATCTTCTTTCCTATGCTCTCTGACCTTGTGGCTTTATAAATGAAACTATTCATTTACTTCCGAGTACACACATGCATTTCACATGTCTTAACCACAAGTCTTCTGGGCACAGGCTCTGATAGAATGACAGATTCAGGAACAGTGAACTTAGGATACCTGGATTCTCCTAAAATCTCTATTAGTTGTGACACTAAATAGCTCCAGGACCTCGATCAAATAACTTTTTTCATCTGTAAAGGAGAAGTGACCAGGAGTGCTTCTCCCAGCTCTATGACCCCTTTAGGTGAGGCAGCACACGCCTACACACATGGCTGGGCCTTCAAGAGAAAAGCACGTGGTAGGCTATTATAAAAGGAACCAGAAGACATGGATCTGAGTTTTGTTTTTTCCAGGTATTAGATCTATTACCGTAGGCAAGACGACAAGTGGGAGAGTCAACGAAGGTATTTACGTGAAAGTGTTGCATAAATTTCAAAGCACCGGGTGGATAAAAGGCATTACCTTTTTTTTTAAGTTTGGCAGTCACTTCCTGCTGCCTGTGACAACTTACCTTTACTTCCTTCTCAATATAGTCGTTCAGCAGTATGTCTGGCTCGACTCGGTCAGGCAATGACAGCACCACAGTATGCAGAGGGCGCCTCTCTGTCACCTTCTCATGGGCTTTCTTATCTCTACTTTTTTCACCTTTTAGGAATACGCGTTTAAATGGCGACACAATTCCAGGCTGCAGGTAAAAATGGCAATGATTGGATTTCATTATTTACAAATTCTTTTTTTTGTGCTAACTATGGTGAACAAGCAGAAGAAACCAAAATCACTGCCATAGTGTACCCATGCAAATAGGGGCTGGCAATTGCTGGGCTGTTAAAAAAAGGATCGAGACTATAGAAGCAGTTACATAAGAGGGACTTTGGTTCCCGTGGGACCCAGCAGGCAGGAATGGACAAAGACCAGGACTGGGACTGCTTGTGCTGCCCTCTGGTGGCCAAAGTCCTGATTCTTCCCCTGTTCATACAACAGTTAGGAAGTCAATGGCCAGCTCTCCTCCAGGTGTTGGTAATGTCAGCTGGCGACAGGACAGAAAGGACTTCCCCTGGAACACAAAAAAACGTAACATGCACTCCAACCATTGCTGGCTCCGGTGGTTTACTGCATTTTCAAGAAACTCTGAGAAGGCAGGTGTGGAGAGTAGCCCACTGTTGGCATCTACAAGGCATGCATCTCACAGGCCACCTGGCCAAAGTTCATACTTCTTCCCTTCTGTAAAGACGTTCCTGAGTGAAGCACATACATGCTTTTTACACATTCCCTTCCCTCCCGGGACGCCTGGGGGTTCACAGAGCATACACTTAAGACGGTCAAGTGCCAGTGGAAACCAACAGGCCTACAGAGGGCAAGCCTCAGTCAGCACAAAGTGAGGGAGAGAAAGCAAGAAAACCACGCCTACGGATTCCTAGGAAAAGGCCTGGTACTTCCTGCTCGATAACTCAAAACAGACACTGGTACCATTTGCAGACTCAAATCTATTCTCAATATGAAATCATCTGACTGGGGACAGAGGTTCAAACAATTGTACTGAGGTCACCGGATACTCGCATGCAAAAAAGTGTAAGTGAAACATAGCCCTCACTCTCCCTCACAGTTTCCAATGCAATCCAGAGTCCTAAAGCCAGTGAGAACAAGATACACGTGTGCAACCAAAGGCAGGACTGCAAAATCCAAAGTGTTCATATGTATGAGAGTGAGAAGTTATGGTCCCACAGTTTGTCTGTGATCCTCAACTGGGGCTGCTCGGGCAAAGGGAGAAGGAAACCACCTTTTACAGCAGGCCCGGAGGACGGAGCAGCCGGCCCCAGGGCAGCAGGTAGGGCTCAGGCACACCCTCCATCCACCGTTATTCTGTTTCTCCTCTGCACACAGGAAATTCTGCCACATGCCAACTCAACACAAAGCAGAGTTATGGAATCTGGGAGGGACCCCATGAAAACATCTCGTCAACTCCACTGATTTGGATTTGGGTTCAGAGACGACACAGACACAAGGGAATAAAGCCATTCTGGCCCTCCAGGATCTCCCAGCCGACCTTGCTGAGGGTGAATCCTGTTCTGGGCACTGATTTCCTCCCCACCACACTCAGCTCACCAACATTAGAAAAGAGTCAATTAGCAAACAAAGCCCACCCCAATTATAACAAAACCTCAAAAGTAAGGCCCCAACACTCCTGGCTGAACGTGTTGCCGGAAGTGGGGTCTCCTCTGCCCGCTCCACAGCCCTCACTCTCTACCCCGGAACCACTGGCCCTTTGGTGTCTGGCTTTGAGTCCAGAGAGCCACTAAGACTGATACTAATGTGGCGGCCCATTCAGCAAAAACTCCAAACAGGAGGCAGAAAGCTGTGGCTCTTGGGGCTTTCCCCACTGAGTGCTCCTGCACCCCCACAATGGGACTACCCTTTGGCAGCCTCCCCTCGCTTGGCTCCTGGGCTTCCTGTGTCACCTCCTGGATCCTCGGGCTCTTCCTTCACTAATTTCTTCCTTTTGTCTAGTAAAGAGAAATGTTCCTCAAGGTTCTAGACTTGACCTTTGCACTGGCAACAAGTTGGCCTGGTATGATCTGGGCTTTACCACTTACTAAGGAAATGAGCCAATCTCACTAAGCTTTCCTTGATGGTAAAATGGGGTTAATGATACCTTGTCAGACTGTTGTGGGCAATCAGTGAAGTAATCTATGTGAAGCTCTGAGCACACCTGGATCCACTGTGAGCCACAAAGCATGTGTCAGCAGTTACTCTTTATGACTGTTATTCTTAACGATGGATTATAGCTTCATCTCCTGTACTGTGACTGTTGTCACAGACTCTGATCCCAGCCCATTTGTTCCACACACCCTCACTGCAGACTAGACAATGAGCCTGTACCCCGGCAGATCCCAGAGCAAACTCGTCACCTGTGCCCCCCATCCCGTCGCCATCCTTTGCCCCCACAGACCTAGTATGATGGCCCTGAAATCCGCTAGAACGCATCCCTTTGCCTGGCTCCCCACAGCAGAGGAGTCCATATCTGGGTCATGCGGTTTCTTACTCTGCGGCCCATCTCCTGTGACCCTGGGTCACGTCCCATCCTGCCCACTATCACCGCCACACCCACATTCAGTCCCTCAACACTTCCCTGCCAAGGGAATGGGGGAAAGAGGAAGGGAGACTTGGCGTGAGCTGGTCACTACTGGAGCTGGACAATACGTACACGGAGTTTCATTTACTTGTCTCTCTACTTTGGTTTAGATTTGAAATTCTCCGTAATACAAAGTGTTTTTAAAAACGATCAGTATAGTTCCTGCCTCCAGCTGGTTACACTTAAGCTGAGACAAGCTATACCAAACCCACTGCTGTCAGAGTTGATTCTGACTCATGCTATAAGAGCATGAAAAGTTACACAATACAAGAGATCCAATATCATCAGGATAAAATCTCCAAGAAGTTCACAACAGACTGGCCGTAGAATGGACAATAGGGTTCCCTGGCCTGTGCCCCTGACCCAGCAACAAGCCAGCTCAGCTCTGAGGGCCCGTTAGGCTTTGGTTTCCTTAATCCCACCACTAGCTGTGAGCCCAGGATGACTCTGGACAAATGGCAGGGGTGGGGAGCACGCAGGGGAAAGCCCAGAAGTGGAAAAGTGTAAGGACCAGTTGGCTAGGATGGCAGGTTCACAGAGAGGAACGGTGGGAAATAATAACCAACAATTTGTCAGGCAACCACTGACGAAAAACTGTAAATTGAATACAACCCTCAATATTCAGTAATGTAATCCTAGTCATGTAAAAACCAAGCTCAGGGCCTTGCTGAAAACAGGCTACACTCAACCGCAGAATTACTCTTCACACATGTCGTGTTTGATCCTTCGATTATTTGTGCACCGATATTTTTCTAGTTCCTATTACGTGGAAGGCACTGTCCTAGAGGCTGTGGAGATACAAAAGTAGGTATACAACATATGATCCTTGCCCTTAAGAAGCTTAAAGTTTCCAAAGACAGTGATAATCTGAAACTGGCCAGAGGTAAAAATCTGTCCCTAACCCACTTCTAACTGGCACCTCCACAAAGCTCACTCCCCCTCAATAATAACTAGCTGCGGCAGACAATAACTGGTTTCTGAATCCGCCAGTGCGCGCAAACAGCTCAGCTCCATCTGTTTGCTCTTCCTGAAGCTGCTTGTTAGCAAATCCTCGTTACTCCACATACCGGAGTGACAGGAATGCAACTCCAAGACAAGAACTGCCAAGACTGACTTCTAACCAGAAAGCCCATCCGAATGAACAAGGCAACAAGCTGCATACAACTGACGTTGTTACTTTAATTTTCCTGTCTAGATCATGAGAGCCTGGTCTGCACATGAAATCACTGGCTGTGCTGGGAAGGACACTAGCACCCAGGTCTGCAGTCTCCTTGCCATGACAGGAAGCAGGGTGCTCACTGAAGACTTCTCTCACTCTTGGAGGATGAGCTCTTCCTATCTGAGCCCAAATCTATCTTCCTCAGCCTTGCGAACGAAGACAGATTTTATTTCTCTTTGTAACCCCAGCAACTAGCACTGGGTCTGACACTCAGCTGGAGATCAATAAATGCTGGTTAATGAGAGCTTAGTGCCACAAGAAAAATAACCAAACAGTTATTTAGTGCTCACTGTGTGCCAGGCATCAGGAAGGCGCTGCGGGTGAATGAGACCCAGTTCCTGCTCTCGAGGAAGAAGAAATAAACAGCCCATCAGTGATTAAGAATAGCAAGACGTTTCAAAGGCATATTTTAGCGCAAAACTGCTCTACATTTTTTTAAGGTGCTGCCCTAAGCAACAAAGGACTATAAAGACAGGTGGCTAATCCCCGACGCCGGCCCTCTAATTGTTTTTCCAAGGCATTTCTAAGAGATGAACTGCCCTAGTTCATCCAGGCCTCCGGCTCATGGCAATTTAACAGAATATAAACTCTGTGTAAACTATTTGGAAGCAGAGCCATGTCTTTCTGTCCTTGGTGCTGAGCTCTGAATACAGCAGGCATCACATGCTTTTTTTATGTCCCAAATAATTTTAATTAGCGAATGAGCTGTCCTGTAAAGTGGAGTGTTGAAATTACTGAATAAAGCAACCCATCCTAGTAAATTCGTTGCGGTTCTCCTCTGCTACTCAGAGCACAATTCCCCATACAATACTTCTGTGCAGAATGGAGTGACGTTACTGCTCCACAGAGGAAAATGGGCAATTTACAGGTCATGGCTCCCGGCCTAGCTTAGTGTTGATAGCTAGAAAATAATGCAGCTGTGAGCAGGGCCAGGCTGGGAGGGGGCTCTGAGTGGAGGTCTACCAACTATTCAGAAACACAACTGAACATGAGATTACCTCAGATTTTTGGAAGTGATGTTGCTTTTGGATACAAAATTTAAAGGTGAAAAAATAAAGAAGAAGTAATTAAGAATACTTTGACACACAAAATCAGGATTCCAGTAAACTACGGTCAGGTGGAAGAGCCCTGGTGGCACAGTGGCTAGGAGCTCGACTGCCAACCAAAAGGTCGGCAGTTCGAATCCACCAGCTGCTGCCTGGAAACCCTATGGGTCAGTTCTACTCTGTCCTGGAGGATCACTATGAGTCAGAATCAACTTGATGGCAATGGGTTTAGTTTTTTTTTTTGTTTTTTTTTGTTTTTTTTTGTTTTGGTTTATGGTCAACTGGAAGACCCTACAGAAGAATCAGCAGAGTCTAAAAAGTGGTTTTATCCCAGCAATCACTCATTCTTCAGTGAACAAGTAATTTTCACTGAGTACTCATGATCACTGTGCTGCCAACATGATCTTACAATCTTTGGGCCCAGAGAGACAGACTGGTTTGGACTCCCAGAAGGCACACTGAGCTAAGTAATGCTTCTCTCCTGGGACTGGATCTTGGGGTTCAACTGTACCTACATCTCATGAAGAAGCTGAGGCCAAGAGAGCTGAATGAGCTGGCCTAGAGTCCAGTCCAGGGCCAGGACGGTGTACAATCCAGCGCTCTTTCCTCTGCAGCACTTGGCAGACACTCCTGTTTCACTATAAGGAATTTCTGGACCAGCTCTGGAAAGATCCCTAGATTCTTACAATATTCTTGCAATATTTTCTGTCCTAAGCATGAAACAATTTTTCCAAGTTGAAACCTAAAATGTAGTTCTTAGTTAAAAAGACCAAAAAGCACAAAGCTGGCCAACTTAGAATTTAACTAGAGAAAGGATGCTTCTCCTCACGGAGCTGGTAGGCTGTCTGGCTGGTGGACCGAGGCTGACCTTGAGCTTTGTTAGTTTGAAAGCTCAACTTTATCAGTTCACCGGGAGTAATCCATCTCTAAGTAACTGAGTCTACTAAACGAGTTATCCAAAGACTAATTTTAATTTTATAAGACAGACTATCTATTAATTTACAAAGAGAAATGCACAGCTAAAAGAACCATGACAACCACCTCATGGGGCAGTGAGCTGCTCACGTGGGGATCAAAATAAATAATAAAGCTGCCCCTATCAACTGAGGTCCTTCATGCAAAACGCTGAGCTCAGTATTGCTCTGGAGGAAATGCTAAGAAGTCTAAGGAAGAAAACGAAGATACAATGAGTACCTAGTACGTCTTGGGAATAGTGTTTAAGTATTTTCATACAGGTTCTTACTTAATCCTTATGATACACTGCAAGGTAGGTTTTTACAAGACAGCCTCGGAACAATAATTCTTAAAGTAAAAGGCCCTGGGTGGGTGTCCTTCAGTTCAACATTCAGTAAGTGTTTAATGGGCACTTCTATGCACCAGGCACAGGGACTACAACAGTGAACAAACCACTGTCCCTGGCCCAAGGGACCCACAAGCTAATGGGGGGCAGACAAGAAGGAATGAGTGAGAATGAGTTCAAGAGACACCACAAGCAGTCTGTGTGTGGGTCAGAGAAGACTTCTCAGAGGCGGCCCAGTTTCCATGGAAACCTGGGGCAAAGTGTAAGTTACAATTCAGTCTAGCTGTAGGAGTCAGAGCTACTGTGCCTCAGAGGTATCCCTGCCACTCGTCATAAACCACACACCACACACTTCCCCAGTACACAGTGAAGGCATGCCACAGAACTCCATGATGAAGACCTGCCTTCGGCTTACACCCACACTGTGACAAAGCTGATCCTAATTTCCACCAACACCCAGCACTGGCTGCCCTGCAAGTCACACAGAAATATGAAAGTACCTGCCAATGGACACAGTGCCTTCCTCAGGCACGACAGAGGCTCGGTTATGAACACGATATGGTCCCAGCCCACAGGCCTCTCCAGGCAGTGTATACCCCTCAGCCTCAGCACGTCCTGAAGTGTGCCAGAGACTTGGGAACAAACACGACGAGGTCTACCCAAAGGCCCCTCTGGGGCAGCACATCCCCTCCCAGGACTTGGCACACCCTGAAGGGAGCCTGAAGCACAGATCACATCCCACCGCTGCACACTGATCCCCAGGGACAGCCACAGAGGCACTTTAGTCTCCCCAGGAAGCCATCTCCAAACCAAGGGGACAGAAGGGCCACCTCAGGCTAGGGCTCTTGTGCACAGGACATTATGGGTGGAATTCTGGGCATGAATTTTTCCAGACATGTGGTGCTTTCTCTTGACCTTTTCCCTAAATAATTTTTCAACTCAGATCTTGGATACCAATTGACTACATGAAAATTACTTTTCCCTAAACCAAAAACCCATTTCTGTCAAGTCAACTCTGACTCACAGCAACCCCAGAGGACAGAGTAGAACTGTCCGGTAGGGTTTCCAAGGAGCAGCCAGTGGATTCCAACTGCTGACCTTTTGGTTAGCAGCCCAGCCCTTAACCACTGTGCCACCACGGCTCCTGCTTTTCCCTAGAAGACAAAATCTATTGCCTCTTATGCCTTCAGTTAAAACGGACAAATGTCACTATCAACTCCACTTGGACAGGAGAGCTTTTCACCTCTGTGGACAGGCCAGAAAGCCAGAGAAACAGCCCTTCATCATATCTTTCCAAAGCAGTGGGTCACAATGAGCAAGTACTCAGGCAAACAGCCATGATGTCACCCAAGAGGAACTAAAACAATCCTTCCAGATGGCAGTTAGCACACTAGGTTTGAACCTACCTCATTCTCCATGGAGTACCCAGTCTGAAAGTCTGTCTGAGGAAGAATTTCCTTGGAAAATTCTAGTTCCTTCCACTCTGCCGATAACTACTGCGCATTCTACTTTATTCACTTCTGATTTTGTTGAAAAATATGGTTAGACGTTAGCCCTCCCTCTGAAGAAAACCATGTGGATAAGCAGGAAGACAAGAAACCACAGCTTCCTTCTGCAAAACCCAGTGGCGACTACTGCACAACTCTAAAGAATACTGAAGAATCCGCAAAACATCTCACAACATGGATGAATATAGAAGACATTATGCTGAGTGAAGTCACTCAATCACAAAAAAAAACAAATATTGTATGGTACCACTATCATAAAAAGTCAAGAATAGATAGATATACACACAGAAAGCAAAGTTCTTTGATGGTTACCAGGGATGGAAGGGAGGGGGAGGAGAATCACTTTCCAGATAGTAGACACTTGTTACTTTTGGTGATGGGAAAGGCAATCTCAAATATGGGTGAAATCACAACTTGACCAAGGTAAATAAAGACACTGAAGAAGTACACGAGAAAAAGGGACAATTTCAGTAAATGCTATAACATATACAATTTTGCAACAACAGTAAAAACAACCAAACAATATGTGTCTGGTTCTGTAGGCAGATATGAATGCATATAGGTGCATAGGGAGGCATATTCGAGTAAATGCACATGCGTGTATAGGTGTATCTGTAAGCATATGTATATACACGTTTGTGTGTGCTACATAGATAGCCACATATATAACAAACCACAGGGGGCACAGGTATGGAGGCTTCCTAGACATATCTGAACAACTCACGGGGTTGGTTTACTGGGTCAAAAGCCTTGGGACCACAGTCTCCGGGGACAACTTACTCAACTGGCATAATACAGTTTGCAAAGATAATGTTCTACATCCCAGTTTGGCCAGTAGCATCTGGGGTCTTAAAAGCCTGTGAGTGGCCATCTAAGACACAACTATTGGTCTGTACTTGTATGGAACAAAAGAGAATGAAGGAAATCAAAAGCTCAAAGAAGAAACTAGTCCACGAGACTATCAGCCCACACGAACCACAGCCTCTTCTAACCTGAGACCAGAAGAACTAGATGGTGCCCAGCTATCACTACTGACCATTCTGATCAGGGACACAACAGAAGATCCCAAACAGAATGGGAAAAAATGTAGATGAAAACTCAAATTCCTAAAAAAGGCCAGACCTACCAGACCAATAGAGACTAGAGGAACCCCCAAGACTATCGCCCTAAGATACCCTTTGAACTTGGAATTGAAGCTATTTCTGAAGGTCACCTTTTAGGCAAGTAATAGATTGGCTTATAAAATAAACAGCATCACCCATGATTAATATGCTCTCTTAAACAATTAACTATGAGACCAAATGGTCAACATTTACCCAAAAGCAAAGATGCAGCAAGGAGGGGAAGGAAAGCTAGATCACTGGATACAGAATAAAGAACGGAAATAATGAGAATGCTGACACATTATAAAAATTGTAACCAACGGTATGGAAAAATTTGTATAAAAATTGTTAAAAGGGAACCTAATTTGTTGTATAAGTTTTCACCCAAAACAATAAAATATTAATTAATTAACCATACAAGCAAAAAGCAAATTAAATGAAAAAAATAAATAAATGGTTTATTTATTTCATAGTAAAAAAAAAAAAAAACCCAGTGGCAATGTTTACAATTTAAAATAAGTTTAAGAAGCAGGCAGCATCATGAAATCATTGGCAAAATATTAACAAGCTATGTGAAAAACACACACACACACAGAAATGCCTTTTTTATCTCAACTTCAGTGCAAAGAGCCCCACGGAGGCCTTACTGGTTTCTGATCAACATGTAATCAATTGCAGAAAATTATTTTCGGAACTGTAAGAGGGTCAGGGAAAAAGAGGAACACCCTCAACGAGATGGATTGACACAGTGGTTGCAACAATGGGCTCAGGCATAACGACTATGAGGATGGCGCAGGACAGGGCAGTGTTTCGTTCTGTTGTACACAGGGTCACTATGAGTCGGAACCAGCTCGGTGGCACCTAACAACATAACTGTTCTGCAAATTCAAATACCAGAGCAAAAAAAATACAAAAAAAAAGGAAACAAACAACAAAGCCACTGTCCTAAACTACCCCTTCTCTGCCACAAGAGGCTGTGCTGGTGATGCTGCCTTTACTCAGCTCAGGAGAAGGGAGGGAGAGGGGATAATATTGACTGAGTCTGTCTCAGAGCTCGAGGAGGACGTGGCAGACGTGGCCTTTTCTCATGGTGTCTGCTCTAAGGGAGTGCCGAGACCTTTACCAGAGCTGCGCATTTCCAGGTGGGGCTTCAGTAAAGTACACCTTGTTCTAAAATCCTCACCGGACAAGCACCTCTACTTGCCTCCAGTACACCTGAGTCTGAGTCACAACTTTGAGACTAAATAGTTCTGTGTCCCCAAACAAACCAACTCTGACTTCTGTGGACTTAAATTTCCTAATGTATAAAAGGAGAACATGGGTGGATTTGTTATGGTGAACGCCCTTATGACTCTATGAATATTCTAAAATGGGCTGAGAATAGAAGGGGCTGCTTAATTAAATGTTCTGGTTAATTTAGTGTCACCATATGTATCCACAAATCAAAACAATTACATGGACTCTGCAACACATGGGGTCGCCGCCATGTCTTAGCCTGGAAGCTCTGCTGAAATCTGTACAGCATCACAGCAACACAAAAGCCTCTAGTGACAGACTGGCGGTGGCTGTGCTTGGGCTGCATTGGCTAGAAATCGAACCCGGGTCTCCCGCATGGAAATGAGAACTCTACCAATGAACCACCACTGCCCCCTCACCCATTTAGTGGGGTGGAAACAAAAGGGCAGCTCTGTGCTAATATTTTAATTATTAAAATACTGTTACCTGAATTTACTATAATTAATTTTATAACCCCTATTATTCATTTAAGGAGCCCAGGTGGCACAGTGGTAAGCACTTGGCTGCTAAATAAAAGGTCAGTGGTTCGAACCCACCAGCCACTCCACAGGAGAAAGATGTGGCAGTCTGCTTCTATAAAGATTACAGCCTCAGAAACCCTATGGGGCAGTTCCCTCTATCCTATGGGGTCGCTGAGAGTTGGAATCGACTCAAGGACAATGTGTTTGGTTTCAGTGACAACCACCAGCAGTGATGATGACAATAATGAAAATAGCAGCCAACATCTTACTAGGGTGGCATAATGCTAAACGTTTCCACATCCGTAACTCGGTAAATTCTTATCTCGAACCCAGGAAATGGGAATGTCCAGTTTACAGGTAAGGATCACTCTGTCAGGGATCAATTGTAAATTATTTATTCTCGCTGTCTCAATCAGTCTCCTCACCCTTCAAGCGGCATGCGCCAAATCCCTCAAACCCCTGCTGTACGCCAGCCAGTGCGCTCAGGACCCAGGTCACTGAGAAGCTCTCGGCCTCGTCCGGCCCAGAGCAGAGGCCCAGGTCACGGACTTCTGGGTCCTGGTGAACCCAATGTCTCTGAAAGGCACTCTACCACTTTCAAATTTGGGATTCAATTCTAGGTTATCCAAGTGGCTTTAGATTCAAGCGGAATGGATTTGGGGTAGTTTAGAAACAGAGGGTCAGTTAGTAAAACAGGAAATTTAGCTTAAAGGTTGTGCTTTATATAGAATTAAGTATAACAGCAAAGTTCTCTTTCAATGCATATAAGCCTAACACAGCCATGTAACAAATCCCAGGCACTATATCATTTCATATTTCACTATCGATCTCTAAAAGATAAGAGCTCTTTTAAAACACATACCCATGATAGCACTGTCAAAGAGAAAAATTAAATAACTGCCACCTTACTTTGATTTCAGGGTTTTTCTTACCCACGAAACCAAATATTAATCAGAGATTCCTGACCAAATCCTGCCAGTGCCTTTTTTCCACCCAAAATTGTTCATCTTTTCTTTCCTGTTCGAAGCCAGATTTATTTAAATTTCAAAAGCTACAGCTGCAGGTGGGTGGAGGGCCAGAGACCACTTTGTGACCTCAGTAAAGAGACGGTGGGGTTCAATCAATCATGTTAAGGTTAGCCAATGGTTGACCTTCTTCCCCTCCTCCGTATAAGCCTCACTGTAACCAGCTTATTCCAAGCCATTTGCTTTTTTGGGAATCTGAATGGTTTCCCTAAATGCATACAGAATAACTGCTCAAACAAACCTTATGTCTGCATTTCTTTGAGTTTTGATTATTTTTAATAGCATTATTACATCTAAAAAATTGATTTCTTAATATCATCAAATATCCAATCAGTGTTCAAATTTTCCACCAACAGTCTCACAATTTTTTTTTTTTTAAACAGTCGGTTTGTTCAAATCAAGATCCAAACAAGTCCACACAGCACATTTTGCTGGTGGGATTCTTAAGACTCTTTCATAGTACTCCCTCCCCTTCCCCCCCGCCCCCCGAAATGTTTTTTTTTTTAAACAAACAGGGCAGTTTGTTCTGTAGACTATCCCACTCCCTGGATTGTGCTGGCTGAATCTCGTGATATTTAACATGTTTCTCAGCCCTGAAGTTCCTGTAAAGGGGTAGTTAGATCTTGAGGCTTTACTTCAATCCTGAATTTTTGCAAGGACATGTCCATCAGAAGGTAGTATCTGGAGATCTCTCCTTTTTTGTGGTGTTATCTGCCACTGATGATGACTGCCTAGGCCCTTTGTTTCATATTTGGACATGATTTTATTTGATATTCTAATTTTGTCACTCCTTCATTACTGGGAACATTAACATGAAGACAGCTCTTCCCTCGTCAAATATTTGGTTACCAGAAGGCACAGTTTCATTCTTTCTCTTTCAAAACAATGAACTGGTTCCCCAGCATGCTCCAAAGGACACACCCATCAGCTGTCATTCTTAGCTCCAATGCTCCCCCTCTGGCCAGCGGAAGTCAGGACGATGCCCTGGTGTCCCAGGCTCCCTGTTCAGCCACTTCTCCAAGGAGCACTGCTCCTTTCGAGTGGAAATGCTACTTCCAGATCAGGTCTGCGCACTGGGGTGCTCACTGCTTTAGGGTGAGCCTTTGTTGCTGGGACTTTCCAACGCAGAGAGTGAGGAAGTGCGTCTTTTGTGTTTAAGAGAAAATGTCTCATGAGATCACAGTGATATTTCCAACTCAAATTTAGGGTTACGGGATTTCTGATTACCTGCTTTAATACCTGTACCTCCTTTCCCTATGCTGAAAATTGGGGTGCCTAATGATGTTAACGGAGCCCTGGTGGCACAGTGGTTAAGAACTCAGCTGCTAACCCAAAGGTCTGCAGTTTGAATCCACCAGCCGCTCCTTGGAAACCCTATG